AGAACAATAAAATCATCATTAGTGTAGTTATATTCTGTTAAATATTGAGACTCGCAATGATTTTTTTAACGTTGCCATTTTTAACAGTGGCAACTGAGAAGCCGGGCAGAATCAATCAAATGCATGGATAATATGCTTTCTCTATATTGAGTGTGGAAAAGTACCATGTTATGAATGGATACTTGTCCTTATTCCACCTTCTATCACTGAACAGAGGACTGAGCTCAATATAATCTTATACAACTATAGAAGTTACACCTCCCTCCTCATTTCATAAAATAAAAACCGAAAAATAGAGTCAAATATGGTATGATTATTAACTAATATCAATGTTGATATATTTCTTTGTATAGATAAAGGAAAATGAATTATTTGGTAAATTGAGGCATAGTTGAAAACTGAACTGAATTTCACATAACTATGGGTTTGTCATACATAATACTTTGATACCGAGCAGGGTAGGATGATAACAGGATGTTGATTTATCAAACAGGTAAATCTTGCGCCTTCAGAGCAAGGTCCTTTGACGAAGTAGGTCACCTGGGAAAAAAATCTAGTTGTACCATATCAGTCATGTTATTACCACTTTAGTTAGATAAGAGAATTGTTCTCAGGTCTCAAATTTTGAACAGTCAAGATGGACTAGGTAAAAAAATTTGGTAGGGTTTGTGCAGATTCTAAAATAGCAAATTTCTTTTAAAAAATCCAGTGCCAATAAATCATACTGAATTCAGGCATTTTCCTGTCATTTGCCTAGGATGACTATTTTCATGGTGATCTGATGAATATTTGGTTATTTTCGGCATAGGACTTTAGCTTTAGAGCTGGAAGCAACCACAACCAAAATTTGATACAAGGCACTTATTTCAGAGGGGAAGAAACTTAGGCCCTGATAGATACTTTAAGCAACTAGTTCAAAGTTATACTGCTAGTAAATGTCTGATTTGATATTGGGTACTCAGACACTGACACTTGGCCTAATGTACTAGGTTGATTAGAATTTGCATTATAATTTTTGTTCAATGTCACATTTCATCTACATGAGTGAAAAAACTGAAATTATACCCTCAGACTGATGGATGTATAAAGCATATAATAAGCCTTTACTATGTGCTAAATACTAAAGAAACAAATATAAATAAGGGCCAGGAAGGGAAGAAAAAAAGAAAAAAAAGAAATGTACATGATAATTTTGTTGGATATTTGAAAGGAATAGCAAGTTGTGCATAGTAGATTTACAGTCATCTTTTTTTTATTGAGCTATGTTATGGAAATGCTTGTTTTATTCCACAAATTAAAAATTAAATTAAATTAAAAAAATAAGCTGGCTAATTGGTACTATAGCTCAATATGTTGAAATACTTTAGAACAAAGAGCCTGCTTTAGTCAATCATTCCCTGATTTGGTTTTCTGCCTCTAACAAAGGAAAATATCTTTGGGAAAAAAGAGAGAATCAGCCAACCACCTGGTGAATAATGCTGCCAGATTGTAGGGCCCTTTGGCCTCACTCTGAACTTCCTAAGGCAGATGCAGTCACATGGTTAGTAGCCTTTCATTGAGGGAATTATTTTTATCAATCAATCAATTATTGAGGGCCGAGGATGTGCCAGATGCTGCACTAAACACTGGGGATACAAAAAGAGGCAAAAGACAGTCCCTGTCCTCAAAGGTGCTTGCACTCTAGTGGGAAAGACAACGTGCTAACAAATACATACAAAGTAGTCCACGTACAGGATAAATAGGAAATGATTAACTAGAGGAATGGCACTAGAATTAAGAGAGGGTGAGGAAGGAAATAAGAACTAGAGAACGGCAGCTAGGGTGGTAGGGTGTTGTCCAAGGGCTCTAACATAGAGAAGAGCCCAGTGTCATCACTTTCAGTCCTACAGTTGCACAGAAATGAGTATTATATGACCTGATGTCATTTATTCTCCTGGACTTCTGTTTTCCTATCTATAAAACGAGGGATTAGACCAATTCAAGCTCTAAGATCTGTGATCTAAACACTCGATCTATGAATCTATTAAGCGAGCTGAGTATCTACTCAGCAAGAGTTTTTAATAGGAAGGTGCCATTGCCCTTGCTGCCATGCCTCAGGTAGGCTCCTCCTCAGCTTCATCCTCCTCCCTCCTCCCTGGCCTTGTTTTCCCTAGACGCAGCTGCCTAGCTTCTCAGAGTCTCTGTTCCCCTTCAATCTCAATTGATACGAGAGCAGATTTTTGGGCCACTTGTTCTAGGATGAGATGAGCTTAGCTTAGGCACAGAAGTTGTTAATTATGGTTCTCGTGGGAGAAAGTGGTCATTTCCTTCACCCCGTCCCCTGTATGGGCTCTGATTTTCTGGTGGAAGTTCTCAGGATAACCGAAGCAAAAGAGTAGATCACATGTCCCTCACCCTTCATTTCAGCTCTGAGAAACTGTCACAGTATTGGTAGGAGACACTTATTCATTATTTTCTACTCATTAATTTTTTTTCTGCTAATTTGAAATAGTGCGTTTGAAGTGTAACAGGTTAGTGTGAAGCCATGTACAAATTAGTAGATTTAACAAATCTAAACCCTGGGCCATTGCTTCATTCTTTGTACCTGTATTCCTAGTGCCTAGCTCAGGAGTAGGGAACCTGAGGCCTTGAGGCCACATGTGGCCCTCTAGGTCCTCAAGTGTGGCCCTTTGACTGAATCCAAACTTCACAGAACGAATCCCCTTAATAAAAGGATGTGTTCTGTAAAACTTGAACTCAGTCAGAAGGCCACACCTAAGAACCTAGAAGGCTACATATGGCTTCAAGACCTCAGGTTCCCCACCCCGTGCCCTAGCCCAAGGTCAGGATATATCCAACACTTAATAACTACCTGTTGGAACTGCCCTTGGCCAGACTTGGCAACTTTCTGAGTAAGATCTAGTTCTTTAAAATTGAGAATTGGTTGACTGGAACTGCTTCCCAATCATACCTGATATTTTATAGCACCTTAAGTTGCAAAGCGTTTTATATACTTTATCTCATTTGGGTGTAATAAAAACTTTGAGATAGAAACAACCGTTATACCCACTTTACAGATTAGGGAACTGAGACATTCAGAGAAGTTAAATGACTTTCTCCTAGTTACACAACTGGTAAGGATGGGAGATGAGTTTGGAAATATCAGTCCTGTTTATGAGTCTAGTTCTTTTGTTCTATGTTGCACTTTCTAAACTTGGGATCTGCAAACTGGTTTAGTTTTTAATATTCTGGTCACTGGATTTTGAAAACTTTAGTTTTTTTATAATTTTATGTATCTTGTTTTATGCATTTTATTTATATTTTATATTTATATTTGTTATTTATATTATTATATTATTATTTATATTATTATATTTATATTATGCATTTTAAAACAATTTTAGATAGGATCCATCAGCTTTACCAGTCTGCCAATGGGGTCCATGACACAAAAAAAGGTTAAGAAGCCCTGCACTGTATATTATTCATCCCTTTTCTCCCCTTTGATAAGGTGGTTCTTGAAGACCCACCAGTGTAAGAAGAATTCCATGTTAAAACTGCCTCCCAGTTAGTTTGAGGGAATTCTCCTACCTTGTGCCAAAGCCACCATGCCTTTGAAGTCATAAATTACAGATAAGTTTTTTGCTCATTGCCTCCTACATGTAAGCAGTAGAGTGAAAATTCCCACTGCTACTACCTCACCCATGATGAACAAAATATATTCTGCCAAGCTGTAAACAATAATGATAATCAGCCTAATCATATGTCAGCACAATGAGATGATAAAATAAAACAAGATGCCAGTTACTTGCATAAGCACTAAGCAAATTATTTTAGTCTTAAATGATACTACTTGCCCAATCCACCCTATAGCTTGGGGACCTAAGTTTATGTACTGTCAAAATGCGGTATTCCATCTGGGATGTGATATGTGGCTAACTATCTCTACAGAAAAATTTTTCAAACCTCAGTGAAGTGTTCTTGTTGCCCTCAGAGCATTTTGAGGGTTGGCACTGTGACATAGAAAGTACTGAGTTTTGAATTTGGAAGATCTGTGGCACAAGGTAGGAGAATCTTAGTATCTTAGATACTTAAAAACTGGAAGACCCTGGGTGAGTCACTTAACCTTTAGGACATAGAGTTTTTTTTTTTTTTGTAAAATGAGGGTATTGATGGCATCTATTTCATAGGGTTGTTAGAAAAGTCAAAGGTATAAAAAATGCTTTTAAAACTTCAAAGGTATAAAATAGAAATCTGCTATTTGAAACTTGCTGGAGATTTCCATATGTCTACACAACAGATCTAAGAAATCTTGTGAAAGATAGAGTTTTGATATAGACCAATATCAAACACCGACCATTGCATTCAGTGTAATTGACATCTATATGGAGATTTAAACATCAACATTGATCTTATGGGAATTTCAGATCTAGGAAACTGTCAATTTCCACATGAAGCAATGGGCCATTTGGTACAGAGGCTATTTATATGAACAGAAGTTTAGATTAAGAATAGCAGGCTAAGAATTTTCTTTAAATACAAGATGTGATCATTTGGTACATTCATGTCATTAAACGGAAAAACCTCACCATTTAATGAGATCCTTGGACCATTCATACCAATTGAATCCATGAAATTTTCATGAGTTTCTTTCTTGTTTAATCTTTGAAGGTTAATTTTTTATGGAATTTGTGACTGCTTTTATCCATTGGTGTTTCATGTGAATGTCTCAATTTGTAATTTCAAAGGCAGACAAATATTTCTTCAGTTTAAAGTATTCATCAGTGGCTCATTAAAAATTATTTTGAAGATAAGTATTACAATAGCTCATCAATAGGTTTCAACTAAATATAGAAAGTGTTTTGGGATTTGTTTTTTTTGATGGGGGTTAATGTATTTATGTCACCATATCCCTTCCTTCAATAAATGATATTTTTTCAAAATGATCCCAAGTCCATTCTAAAAAACAACAACCAAACAAAACCTTTTCCTGATGTACTCATCTTCTCTTTTAATTGTAGGACCAGCCAAACCCAGACCCCACAGTGATGAATATTCCAAGAAGATTCCTCCTCCTAAACCTAAGCGAAACCCAAACACCCAGCTAAGCACATCTTTTGATGAAACCTATATTAAAAAGCATGGGCCTACAAAGACTTCGCTGACACGGGACACCTCCTTATCACAGGTGAGCAGTCCTGCTCTAGATGCTGAGGAAGAGGAACCTGTGTACATTGAAATGGTGGGGAATATTTTAAGAGACTTCAAGAAAGAGGAAGATGACCAAAGTGAGGCAGTTTATGAGGAAATGAAATATCCTATTTTTGATGACGTTGGCCAAGAGTCAAAATGTGAAATGGACCATCACAGCTGCTCTTCTCAGTGTGCTACGCCCACAGTGCCTGACTTGGACCTCACCAAGTCCTCAGTGCCATGTACTCCAAAGGGTTTGCTTTGTGATATCCCCCCTCCCTTTCCAAACTTACTCTCTCATAGACCCCCACTGCTGGTGTTCCCTCCAGCACCTGTCCAGTGTTCCCCCAATTCTGATGAGTCACCTCTAACTCCTCTTGAGGTCACAAAGCTTCCTGTGTTGGAAAATGTGTCTTACATCAAACAGCAGGCTGGAGCTTCTCCATCGTCACTGCCATCTCATAGCTCTGGTCATCCCAAATCAGAGAAAGACCAGACAATAGCTCATGGACCCTCTTCTTCTTCCTCTTCTGTTCATTCTTCGTCACCTCCCCATCCTTCCACTTTATATAGAACACCATCTCCACATGGATACCCTAAAAGTCATTCTGCTTCACCTTCTCCTGTTAGTATGGGGAGATCACTTACTCCCTTAAGCCTCAAAAGACCACCACCCTATGAATCTTTACATTCAGGAAGCATCTCAATAAGTTCTCCATCAGTGCCTCATGCTACAGCCAGAAACACATTACAGGAAGGAGGGAAGATGGTAAATGCCTCTGTCAGTACCTATGGGTCATCTCAGAGTGGCTCCCGCTCCAGAACGCCCACAAGTCCTTTAGAAGAGCTCACCAGCCTCTTTACCTCAGGACGAAGCTTGCTGAGGAAGTCCTCCAGTGGAAGAAGATCAAAAGAACCTGCAGAGAGTAAGTTTTCTTTTTTGTTCTAAATACAATTTGAGTCAGCATTAGATTTTTCTTTTTTCAAATTAAATCCAATATTTGCAAATAAATATAAAATTGGGTTTTAGCCTTATCACAGTAGTATGGTGGATAGAGTGCTGGACTCAGAGTCAGGAAGATATAAGTTCAAATATGACCTCAGAAATTTACTAGCTGGGTGACCTTGGACAAGTCACTTAATCACTTTCTGCCTCAGTTTCCTCATATGTAAAATGGAGATAACAATAGCACTCATCTTTCAGAGTTGTTGTGAAGATCAAATGAAATAATATTTATAAAGCAATGACTTTGTATACTATCATTGCTTCAACATCACATAAAAAGGAATTTTCTCTTTTTCAATGTTTTGAAGTTAGAAATTAAAGAATATTAAATTTACTTGGCAAAAAACTACCAACTAAAATAATTACAATCCATTCCTAACTGCTTTCTATGGCATTTTACTTTCTTTCTTGTGTATCCATTCTAATTATCAACTCATCAACAAAGCCTCTCAATCTAGCATAGAGATCAGCGTTTGTATCTGTTGTCCAACTCTCCATTGAAATGGTGCATTTCTTCCTGAAAGCATCAAGAAGCAACCTTAAAGATATTTTCTTTACCTATAAAAAAGTCTCCTTGAAGCTTCGAATATGTAACTGTTTATTTAAAACACTTTTCTTGTGGGGAAAAATGTTGTATAACTTCTCATGTTAATTTGTCTTAAATGTTTGGTACATTTTGTTTTTGCATTGCTTATATTTCCTCCTATATCTATTACCCATAAAATCTTAATCAGAAAAACAAAAAAGATTCTCATTAGTACTGTTTACAAAAATAAAGTCCAACTATTTGAAAGATAATAATGCATGTTATCCTGACTTGTCGCTCTGGGCATGTCATTTAGCCTTTTGGTGCCACAAGAAGCTAAGATGATAAAGTGCAGAGAAGGGGAGAACTTTCATTAATAGATGGGCTTACTTCACCTATACTAGTAGATTACATGTCCCATTCCATATCCCAAATTCCCACTAAATCATATGAGGAAAGTGTTCCTTCTCTTTCTTTTAAAATTTGAAATTTGAAGCATTGAAACTTATTTTTCCTTATCTGGGAGTTCCCTGTGTCAATGAAATCACAGGTTCAGTCAATCTCTCTCCCTTTTTCTATGTGGTAAGAAAAAAAATTGCAATTATTTGTCACACCAGAAATAACTGAATGAAGGAAATATTGGAGATGTATTGGGAGGTTGATCAGGGAATCCCTGGTCAATTTAGATTCCCCAGCCTACTTGATGAAATTAGAAGATACAATGAGCAGAGGAAAAAAAAAGAGTATGACATAAGGTATTACCCCTTTCACAGATTGAAGTCTTTAGGTTTAATCTCAACTTAAGGAAATTTAGAACTTATACCTACCTCACTGTCTCTGTTACTGTCCTTTACATACTGAAATGTCATCTTCAATTGATCATTTTAATCCACCTTATATTCCACCTTCACAAAGATAATATATTACTATAGTCTTGACTCTCTGTATTTTTCTACAGTGGCCCAGAACCCACTTCACTCTGGAAGCTCACTTCACCTCTGGGCTTTGCACATTGGAAATGCCCTTTGTTTTCTTCCCTACTCCCTCTATTTGACTGTTCTCATAACCAACATTTAGAAGAGGAGGCCCGGATGAACTATGTCTTCCTTCCTTTCCAGGCTACACTCCTGACTCTCTCCAAAGGTTTCCTACAATGCTTTGTGCCAGATAACTTTCATCTCCTCCCACCACCCCCTTTCAATTTCCTTTACTGTGTTGTCTTCCCTTCTTAGAATGTAAGCACCTTGAGGGCAGGAATTCTCTTATTTTATGCTGATATTTGTACTTCCAGTGCACAGAACATAGTAAGGACTTAATAAATGTTTGTTGATTTATAAAGTTATGTCCAGAATCCATAAAGAAAACAGGAAGGCAGTAAAGGAAAGAACACTGACTTAAGAATCAGGAACTCTTGGTTTTACCTGGTTTTGGTAGTCACTACATATGAGATCTTTGGTAAGTCACTAAGTCTCATTTTCCTCATCTGTAAAATTATGATGTTGGTCTAGACCCTGGATGATCTCCAAGGTTTTTGTTTTGTTTTCTTACTTTCCAAATCCTATGCTTTTTGTACTAAGAAGAATTCAGCAGCAAAGAGTGGTCAGAAAAAAGACCAGTGATAGATCTAATCCTACTTTACTTCAACATTTATAGCACTGATTTAATCCTAAGGGATTACTCTCAGTAAGCCCCCCCAAAAAAAGGGTTTCTGTTCAGATAAGATACAGATGAAAATTGCGAACAATTACAGGATGGAGCTGTATTTTCATTTTTAAAAAAAGTGGTACTACAAAATATAAGCAGAGGAAATCAGGGTGATGGAAAATACAATTTGGTCAAAAAATGGTACTACGTGATCTATGAGAATACATAGTGTAAAACCAGTTTCCAAATGTGTTTTCTAATAATGCCATACATTTGCATAATTGGTTGAATATTTTTTCACTCTTCATTCATTTCCCTGGTGTTGTATTGACACAATTTAAGTAGTGAGATGGAGCTAAAGAAAATGTGTATGCAAACCACTTAAAATCTACAATTTACTTAAAAATTGATATCATGTGGATTTTACTCATGATCATCAGTTTGTGTTTTTTTGTCCTAGAGTTGCTATCATCTCTACAATTAAGATGCTATTTTTTGGGGGGGTTGTTTGCTTGCTTACCTATGCACTTCAAGAGCAGGCCTTTGACAGTCCCAGCTGGCAATTGTGCCCAGTAACTGGAAAATGTGTATGGATGAGAAATGTTGAGCTAATGAAATTATTTCAAGAAAAATCCATCTGTCAGATTCTTTGGAGCTTGGCACTTCACTGCCTTATCTCATTGACTCCATAAAAGAACATTCTTCTCTTCTGAAGAGGCAAAGAGATGAAAAAGTCAATTGGAATCTGTTTTTTTTTTTCTTTTTTAACCTTTACCAATCTTTGTACTTGATTTTCTACTCATTCCCAAATCATAGTGTTTAGGGATGTACATTCTGAGGCACTAGAATACCACTAAATTACAGTTAAAATTAAAATTATATTCATAGGTGAAATGGAGAAAAAATAGAGTGTAAATGAATATCCAATTAGCATTTAATTTTGAATTAATAATAACTCTAATTACTATAGTTCCATAAGTTATAAAAAGTTGCATTTGAGAGTAATTATTATCCCCATTTTAGAGATAAAGAAATTCAAGCTGTACTAAGGTGACTTGTCCATGGTTATAACATTTTATGATCACAAAAATAGAGCTGAGAATGGCCTCAGGTCATTTAGTCCTAACATTTCATTATAGCTAGCTAGTTAGCTAGCTATCTAGATACATATATAGATACACACACACACACACACACACACACACACATATATATGTGTGTGTGTATGCATACATATGTGTATATATGCATATATGAATATACAAACACATATATGTGTATATACATATATATATATATATATATACTCAAGTATTAATGCTAGGATTTAAATCCATTTATCTTACTTCAATCCCCTTGTATTTTCCATTATATGAAGCAAAGAAATATAGAGTCTATTAGATGGAGAAGTAAGAAGATGGGAGCCTTCTGAAACTATGAACATTTCCACTTTTGACTTTGCACAAGTAATGGTAGCTTGGGACCATTCTGGACTGGTAAAATCTCACATGCCTGCAAAGGATCAACCCATTTGCAAATAATTGAGAATTATCTTTTGCTGCCCAGGAGATGATATACTCTTCCTTCATCCCCCAGTGCCTACTTCCTGCTGGGTCAGTCACAGATATTTTGCAAGTATTGAATAAGCAAACAAAATACAGGTAATAGCTATACACTCCAAATTTATCAATCCTGCCAATCCAGAGCTAAAATGGAAGAAAACTTCCTTCCCCAACTCCCATTTTACTTATAGAAAATCATGTCAAGTGAACTTCACACCAGCTTACTTCCTAAACAGTTACAAAGATGTGCCTCATGCAGTCACTTCACAAGCTTTTTGTCCTTTACGATTGTCGCCAAAAGTTAAAGCAATAGGAAAAGAGGCAGGTAATTAGCAGTTCTAGATTATAAATCATTTCCTTTGTTTCTAAATTCAAACTTGAGATATTTTTCTATGTAAACTTTACTTTTAAAATGAATATTTCCAAGGCATTCTGATGTTATTTTTGAAAATACATGAATATTTATGAATAATTGAAGGCATAAGAGACAGTGGGCATCTATAGTCTGTATCCTGCCTGCTGTTGTATTGTTATTATGGTCAGGTATTCTTTTATTTTTCTTTCTTTTTTATTTTAAAATATCTGGTCAAGAGAAAATGAGTGAAAGAGCTGAGTAGGAGGAGTCAGAATGGTATTTTCCTTCTGTAATTTTGTTTCTGATCAAGGAGATTAAATTCTTATATTTTCACAGCAAACTTTGCTGACTCAAGTGAACAACTCAAGTTGTTCATCTCATGCTGTGTTTTTCATCATTCCATGTACACATATAAACATTATCATGTTAGTAAAGTTCTGGAATTGCAAGGTGGAGGAAATTGTGTTTCTGCCAAGGATCACAGATCACAGTAGCAGAAATTTAGTCAAATGGGCATTTTGAGATGATCAAATCTACCCTTTCCTGCACAGATGAGAAAACTGAGAATGGGAAAATTAAGTAATTGTGTAGGGTCATACAAATAATGAGTAGGATCCAAACCCAGGCCTCCAGACTTGTAATTTAATCAGCATAATGGTGTCCTGGTATGGAAATTCACTCCATCAATGAAGATCAGCAATCCTGAGAAACTGAAAAGTTCCCTCTCATTCAGGGTCACATAGATGTGTCAAAAGCCAGGCTTGAACCATGGTCTTCCTGATGCCAAAGCTTGTTCTTTAACAACTATACCATGCTACCTCTTTAAAAATATA